CCGCCATATGGGGTCCACTTTTAGGAATTTCAAAAATTTGATACTGGATCCGTAATCAACGACCCCGAAAACCCTTTTATACAAATTTTCATAAGATTACCTTAAAAACTCTGTCCATGGCCGAATTTATTCGAAAAAATTAAAAATTTTCCGTCTTTGATTGTTTATAAATAATTAAATAAATAAATTTTCAAATTTTCAATCAAAGCATTACGAAGCCTAAGTAATAATGATAGTGTAGAAGTTTATTCGAGAGCGATTGAGCTGAAAACGGTCGCGGTATGGATAAAAAACTGAAAAAAGTTTGGTGTATCATATATGATACGCTGCCCCTCAAAGGGTTAAAAAGAAATTCTCTGGTCTAAAACACAAATTCACTGGTTTAAAAATAAATTTATTGTAAAAACACAAAAATAATATAAGAAAATAATTTGTGTTTTTGAAGTAGTGAATTTGTACTTGTAAAGTATATTTGTATAATTAAAGCAGAAAATTATTTTTATAAATTGATTGATGTTGAACACGTGATTATAGTGCATGCTCATATCGATATACATTTACGCTGTTTTTGAACTAAAACGCAGAACATTACAACATTGTGTTCCACTGTGTAAGATACTTGTTGAAACGCAATTTAGTTTTATAATATAACACCAGAATGCATTATAGTCTTCCATTTTTATTCTTATAATTATATTTAGCGTATAAATAATAGATGATTTTTATTTAGACTTAAGTTTAAATAAAAGTTTATGATTTTTATTTAGACTTGAGTTATAATTTTTTCAGAATTGGTGATTCGATTTTATTGCAAAATAAGTACGGCTATCAAATAACTTTTTGAAAAGTTGGTTAACATTAGTTGCTTTCCATTTATACATGAATGAACTGAGTCTGAAGTGAGCTGAGTATTTCATACTCAGATTAATGACGTCATTATTTGCTTACTTTGGTAAAAAGTTATCACATTACAACACAGGTTCATAATCTCATTTTTAAAGTGAGTTTATGAGACTCAGTGAAGCACACGGCCTCGATCTTGTATAGATTATAACCCCTATAGCACAAAGTCGCAGCAGTGTTGCACGTTGCTGCAAATTCTGTGCTGCATGGGAAGCAAAAACTCATCCAGATAGCAAGTTTTCCGTATGTTGCTACAAATTTGATACAAATTGCGTCGCCTGAGTTTTGCCATCTTTTTTGAACGGCTTCCGATTTTACTTATTATATTGGCGGCAATATATACCATAAACGGTTATACACAACCGGAAGGAAACAATTTCCCTTGCCACAAAATTTTGATAACTAATATGAAAATGTCGATAAACAATAATGAATCAAATAAAAACCGACACAGTTACTGTGCTCGCTCGACACTGACTAGACAGACTTGAGTGACAACAACACTATTTATAGTTTGTCAATGATCGGGAGGTAGACCTTGGGAAGCCCCTCCATATCCGTCTGCAAATTAAGTCCGTGCGTCTGCTTCCTGATGTGCATCATTTCGGAAATCAGTCTTTTTTTGTAGCGAGGCTCCTCGTCCAGTATTGCAACACCATCCCAGTCAAATTCATGGCCTTCATTCAATCGGTGGTCCATTATGACATTGCACATATCGACAGGTGGACGTATTCCATCGTATATGGTTCTTATGTTCACTCTTGTTTTTAGTTGTCTACAAGTCTGTCATCTTGCATCGCTTTACAATTAATTTTGTAAACAACATTCGTTTTCTTTTCACGTGGCAATGGGTCCTTATGCACTCTAATAAACTCACGCAATTTATTACTATTATAATATGCTACTCTCATGTTATCACTATTCAATCTATTAAACTTCTCAGTGACGCCGCACACAAAGGGTACAGTGAATCATAAACACTCTTCTTTATCTATACAATTTTCCTCCACAACCTTCTTCCTATTATCAACCATAATGATATTTCTCAAACAATTTCTAATATTTTCAAATATAAAATTTAGTGAATAGTCATTCTCTAACAAGACTTCAATTATGAAACAAAAATTATACTGAAATTTTGGATTCGAAAGTAAAACAACTCTATCAACCAAACCCGCTATTGTACCTATCTTTTGCGAAACCGGATGCTGCGACCAAAAATTCAAATATCTACCCGAGAACGTCGGCTTATGATACCAGTCAAACTCTATCCTTCCATTCTCCCTAATAACTGTAACATCCAAAAAATTTAATCTCTCCCCCCACTTCCGTGGTGAACTGAAGCATTGGGTGCTGAGAGTTAAAAACATCCAAAATGCAATCAATCGAAGAAGCTGGTGCCGCCATCACTATATCGTCCACATATCTATAGTAAAAAGGCAACTGAAATTGTAACAAGGACAAAGCTCTCTCTTCCAACCTTCTCATAACTAGATCCGCGATGACTGGGGACAACGGGGAACCCATAGGAGTACCGTAACACTGTTTGTACATTATACTATCAAAAACAAAGTGGAATTCAAAACAAATTGTACTGCCTTGATAAATTCACTCTCTGGTAAACTACAATCTCCAGATACAAATCTTCAATAGTCCTTAATACAATCCATCGCATAGTCAATAGGGACGTTAGTGAAGAGATTAACCACATCCAATGACATCAAATGAAACTCATCACTCAACCGCCTACCATCCAATTCCTTAAGGCGATGCTAAAGCTCCCTGTTTTACCACATTCCTATTCGGTGAAAAATCTCTG